CTCGTTATTCTTATTGCAGATTTTCTTTGCATCCTTAGAAGTATGACTAGGTATATCTTACTTTTCATTGGTCTGCTCCATATGGTGACGCCATAAAGCATCATTGAATGCACCACTGTGAATAGTATTCTTCTATTTCCCTTCAGTGGACCTCCAATGTTGGGCAGCAGCCTGCTTATGTTTTTAATTGCCTTACTTGCATTCTCTGTTAAATTTCTGACATGCTGATCCATGATCATATTTCTTTCAAGATATATTCCCAGGTACTTAATAGATTCCTTGCTTCTTATGTTCATGCCTTCCACTTTGATTTGTATTTCTCTTAGCGTTCGCCCTTTTGCTAGAATAACCACCTCTGCTTTTTTTGGGGCTAGGCTTAGTCTTTTTGTGCATAGCCACTTTGTCACCTTTGAGAGTAGGTACTTTATATGTAGTTGTCCTCAGTTTTTCCTCGTCTTTTTCTGTTACCACTATTCCAAGGTCGTCTACGTAGGCTATCAACTTGACTCCTTGCGGTACCGGAATTCTCATTATACCATCGTAGAAGATACCCAAGTAGCATTATAGTGACAGAAACTTATATCGCCACTTCGATTAAGTGACTACGTTATAATCACTAAATGTACCCCTATATAGTCAGAAAAACTTCATTTTATATTTTCCCAGTTGTAGCCACGTATATTTCACAACTGGGAATCACTTCAAAGTTTTATATTATTTAGTTGCCTTTGAAGGTGTTTGAAACGTTATAGCCACTAAACGGGGCCACTTTAAAGTTGCAGAATCTTGAATATTGAAAATAGTAGTTACGGCCACCAAATCATATCACTTAAATACCACCTAGAAGTAACAGTAATCTTAAAGTGGGTTTGATAGTTTTAGTAACGTTTCGGGAACCATAAATATATCTTTAAAGTGGCGGCACTTGATTGTATAACTGCGGTAGTTCTTGCCACGTTTTTGCCACGCTCTTAAGTGATTTCCACATATTGCGTGGAACAAAAGCCAGTTCATAGTTACTATTACTTTCAAAATTCACAATGAAGTAACCGTTGCCTATTAGTGGCCTGTTTTCTACATTGTCCGCCTTTACAATAAAGAAAAAACCACCAAAGTATCGTTGATCTGTGTGCAAATTACTTTGTTTTTAGACTTATCTAGAATGCATTTGTGTGTAAATTGGGAAACAACAAGAAGCCTCACAAAAAATTTCTTTTTGACATTCGATAACTTTTTATAGACAACTTAAACAACAAATGAAAGGTATCAATTTTAAAATGCATTTCATCTGCGACCAACTCACCTCAGGGGAACTTATTGGATTTCGTCTCTACGTTTCTCGTTGTGAAAAATTTAAATGGCCTGGCCAAAATAAGGTTCCTTCGTTTTCCCATATGTTGGCAACAACGCAGAAACAAACACCTCTCTTTTCTTGAGTCGATACAATTTTAAAACTCATATCTAAATACATAAATTTAAGTGATCTGTGACATAAACAAATTTAACCGGCGAAATCTACTGTAAATTTTAAGGTTATATACAACTAATACAGTGTTACGATATCATTAGAGCGCAATTTCCCTGAGAAGATATAGTATACAAAATGTTTCCATAATCTTCTTGAATGTACACTATATTTGTACAGGGTGTTCAGTTATTTTTAGAACGGCACTTAAAACGTTTATTAAAAGAGATAAAATAAATTATTAAATACATAAGTTATAAGGCTTTACTAGAAATTACTATTAAGATAAACAAACGATAATCAGAAAGGTAACTAACAAGTATCAACTTTGTGAATTAAAATGGCAACCCTATACATTTTTTACTATGGCAATTCCAAATATACTGTATCTTAATATTTTATTAAGCCGTTTTAGGCTATTCAAGATTAAAATTGCTTTAAATTATCTTGATCTAGGTTAATGGATGACATATTTGTAATTTAAGGTAAATTTGATTTTCCCCCTGACATTGGCCTTATTGAAGAATTCAAAAACTCTGAAATAAGTGAAAAAATTGCTAATCTATCAACAATGTAAATAAATAACTTTATGTTGGCACACACTAGGTAGCTGTCACGTAACCGCCACTTTGAAGTGGTGAAAAATATTTTGGATTAGTTCCAGCTGCCACTTATTTGATGATAGTAACTATAAAGTTTTTTTACCTGGAGCAGACATATTTGTAATCATTTTTAAGATTGCCATTATGAGAAAATATGAAGGTGCTATTTAAAAAATTTTTTTTCGTCCGTATAGCTACAATTGCAATAAAATTCAAATATATTTAATGATTTTAGTTAACCAAGATTGATAAAAAATACTGTTTAAGACATCTAAATAAATAATTTCGAAGATGAAAGATTTACAGATTTTAACTTTTTAATTAAATATAGAGTATTTCAATGGCGCGTGCCCATATTTCGAACTACAACACCTATATTTGACAGTAAACTTCCAATCGTTCCAACTTTTTGCCTATCAGAATTCCTAAATCAATATTTTTAAAAAAACCACCTACTTATTAGTTTACTAGTTATGTCAAGTTAGAGAATAAGCAAGGAGAATAGGATAAATAATATGCAGGAAGGAGACTGAGCTACAAATATCAATCAAAAGACAAGGGCAGTAAGCAAAGTTCAGCGTTTAGTGTCGGTCACCGTGCCGCCACGTTTTCGCCACGTTATCGCCACGTTTTCGCTATGTTTTCGCCACGTGGCGTAAACGTGATTATATTAGTTCCGGAAACATGGCTGGAACGTGGTTGCCACCAAGAAAGTGTTCCCCATTTTAGATACTGACACGTGGTAGAACCGTGTCTATTACGTGGCAGAAACCTTGGCAATACACTTTAAAGTTTCTAAAGTCATAGTAGCTATTAGATTGCAGACATACGGCACTATATGTCTCCTCTTTATTAATTATAAGATACCGTTCCACGGGGCAGAGTTAAAAGCATTACGTACGTCCACTGTTACGAGAATACACCTTTTTCTTCCTATTTTCTTAGCTTGATCAACAATTTCTTTCACTCTTTGAAAGGCTCCGACTGTAGATCTTTTTTCTCGGAAACCGTATGGTTCTTCAGTTAGGTCTCCGCTAATTTCTATTTATCTTTTCAGTTTTGAGAGTATTAACTGTTCTAGTAATTTTCCAAAAACGTTTAATAAGCAGATGGGTCTATATGCCTTGTTGTTCTGCCCATGCTTTGCTAATTTCCATTTTTTGGGAAATGTTTCTTTCCTAACGAGCCCATTTAGGACTTCCAGTAATTTATTTATTTATTTATTTATTTTTAACCAAACATACAAAGGCCTTATTACATGGTTAATACAAATCGATACGTATTATCCTATTTAACATTTATTTTATTTTATTTTATCTAAGAATTGTAGAGGTTTAAACAGTTCACCAGAGTTGTAATCTATCAGGATACTCCATCATTACAGCCTTTATGATTTCCGGGGACAAACCGTATGGTCCTGGTGCTTTTTTTCTTTCACTTTATTGCTAGTTTGTGAATATCGGTATATTTACTTCATCCTCCGGTAGTCTCTTCCATTTTCTTACGGGGTGTGATGGGAATAGTTTTTCTGCCACCTCCATTTGTTTCTCTTCACTCAGCCCTAGTGGTGAGGTATTTCTTAGCTTGTCCATTACTATTTTATATCCCTTAACCCATAGATCTTGGTTTACTTCTACTACTTTTTTCCAGGCATTTCTTTTTGCTTTTCAGAAATGAATTTCTTCAGGGTTTGTCGACTTTCTCTGTGACCTCATCTGTCCACCAGTAGACAGGTTTTTTACGTTTTAGGTTAGCTTTCTTTTTAAAAGTTATATTACAGGCTGTATTACATGTATAGAATTGATACGAGATGGCCTTACCCAACATCGATTTTTATGTGGTCACCTGCTGGGTTTTGTCACCTGTTGAGCCGAAAGTCCTTATAGAAAAGTTACTCATTGCAGTGCACCTGCCAAAGTTATATGTATTAACTTAAATAATAATTTATATGTAAGTATTATCTTTAATCTTAACCATGGTGTTTGTGGTGGCGTTAATTTTTAAGGTCCTGTGGTTCCAACAGATTAAGGAAATTAACATAATTTTATTTTTTAATTCTTTTATGTTACTATTACCTAAGCATTTGATACCTTATTACTCATAACCCTATTTATTAATATCTTATTTGGTATATTACTCAATTGTGCATTTCTTCACAACTACTATTATCCTAGTAAACCTCATATAGTCGGCAGTCGCTTGGCCTGACACCGGCATGTACGGGAAGCTGAGTACTCGGATTGCCATTGTCGGGGTTGCTTCTGAGCCGGGAGGGCCATACCATTTGACGTAATTTAGAGGTAGAAACCGCATAAAGTCCATATTTTCCTTTTCAGACATGGGAGGCTTCCTTACGGGCCGAACGCGGTGAATATTTGGCTAGCGGGGCACGGGAGACGTCCTTACGGGCCAAACTATATATAGATATATGAAAGCGACATTCGGCTGGGAGGACATGCCCTACCTATACGCCGAAGTTGCACCCATATATCGGGCCGAGACCGGCATCCGGCAAGCGTCCTTCGGCCTAGTTACGGTGCTGATTAACTGTGTTTATTGGGATATTACTTAATCTTAAAATTTAATTTAATATTACTGTGTCTTACTTAAACAACTTGTTCACCACTTTTCATTAACATTGTCATGTGATATCATTACAACATTATCTAACTTGTATTTTTAGATTTACTTAAGATAGATATACTTTTTTAATATTGTTTTGATTCCTTACTTTAATATCTATGCTATAATGTTACTATGATGTATATTATCTCCTACATGCCTGATGATGATCATTGATCGAAACAAGACGCTTATCGCCCCTTTTTAATAAAATTTGTTGTGAATAAGACTTTACCTTTTACCTTTCCTTTATCTAATTTTATGGGCCAATAAAGAATTGAATTCAATAGAAACAGCAGGTGTACGCTTACCTTGGTTTTTTAAATTCTCTAAGATAAGAACAGCATTCTTATCGGGAACCGCACCTCCATCCAAGTTCAATCTAGCACAAACTAACTTAGGAAAGAATGTTATTTCTGGAAGACCATGATCATTCAAAAACTGCTGGATGGTTGGAATTATTTCTCTATAAAAGTTTATCTCTGATTTGAACATCTGAATATTAAATATTGTTTGTTCACTTTCCTGTACTACGCATTTAGCGCAAACGTTTATTTCTTCTGTCGAACCCGTTTCGTCATTTATAACGGTTAAATTTATCTTCAGCATGTCGCTCCAATAATTTTCTCCGGGTGCTGTGAGGTTTGTGACGTCTTTTTCGATAATTCGCTTTGAGCTGCATATGTTGTTATTGATAAATTCGATTAGGTTTTCTGCTTTATCCGCCATTTTTATTTCTTGATTTTAATCTTTACCTGAAAATAAAAGATATATGTAAACATTGATAAACAAAATGTAACGAACCATCGAGAATAATCATAATTGTAGTTGGTTGTGAGTTTTAAAATGTTAACTCGGCCACGTTGTAATTGGTGTTTTTTTTTTATTGGGACAAGTTGTTATTCTTGTAGTTTTAAATTTCTCTTATTTTGGTCTAATTTTGCCTAAGAAAGGCCAGCGTGGTTAATTCGCATTATTTTTTAAATAAAAATAATAATTCCTCCATGACTGTAACAGATTTTCGCAAGATTATTTTTGATACTATGATTTTTCAAGAAAATGAATGATGTTTCCTTACCACCCACAAGTAACAGACGAAACCAGGAATCTGAGCACTTTTTGAAAAATAGTCCACAAAGTTTTAAAATATTGCGTTGGTTGTTATAAAAAAATCAGAGTATCATTACAAGAAACAATGTTAACAAAGTTGTTACATTTGGTACAGATTGTATTGAAAAATATCATATTTGCTTAAACATTTTCATAAATAAAAAAACAAGCACTTTAGTTTGGTTGTGTAATTTTTATTGCTTCGTACCCGAAGAGTAAACAACGGGATCCCATTACTAAGCCTCTGCTGTTTGTCTGTCTGTCAGCCGGCTGTATCTCATGATCCGTAATAGGTAGACAGTTGAAATTTTCACACACTGAGAAAATAGCTTTAAAAAGGAAAAACTTGTATTTCGTGCAAAACTTTTTTATTAATCAATGCAAAGCGCTTTCGGCTTATTTGCCATCATCAGTGCTCATCTACAAAAATTGTGGATGTAAACTTACAATTTAAAAAGATTTAAAAAAAAAAAATTATAAAATCTGAATTAGACTTTTAAGTCAAAAGTTAAAATAGTATATATACAATTGTTTGAACGAATTAAAAATTACAAGAAACAGACAAAGTGACAAAAAACCTGGTATTGGGAATAGTGAGTGTGGGATAAGCCCTTACAAATCAAATCTGATCTCCAAAAGCAAGTTAGCTTGTGTGGAACTTGCTTTTGGAGATCAGATTTGATTTGTAAGGGCTTATCCCACACTCACTATTCCCAATACCAGGTTTTTTGTCACTTTGTCTGTTTCTTGTAATTTTTAATTCGTTCAAACAATTGTATATATACTATTTTAACTTTTGACTTAAAAGTCTAATTCAGATTTTATAATTTTTTTTTTTAAATCTTTTTAAATTGTAAGTTTACATCCACAATTTTTGTAGATGAGCACTGATGATGGCAAATAAGCCGAAAGCGCTTTGCATTGATTAATAAAAAAGTTTTGCACGAAATACAAGTTTTTCCTTTTTGAATCTAAACTACGTGCACACAGCTGTTAACCTTTTTTGGTTTTTTCTTTTTTGGTTTTTTTAAATAGCTTTAGTTTAACAGTTTATCTGAAAATTATTATCTGAAACAGTTAAAAAATTACCTGTAATATTTAAATTTTTTAATTTGGTACAGTAAACCGTAAACTGATAGAAGAAAATATGAAGAAAATTAATGGAAAATTAGATATGGTAGTAGCAGACAACAAGCAAATGCGAGAGGAAAACAGAAAACTAAAAGAAAAAGTGACATATCAGGAAGAAAGAATAAGCAATCTAGAGAGGGAAATAAGGAAAAAGCAAGCAAATGCAAAGGAGGAAACAATACTTTCAAAAACTACTGAACGATGAACCTGAACGGCAGAAAGTAGAAGAAGACGAAGCAGCAGCAGAAGAGGAATAAGAAGCAAATGAAAACCCTATGTACACCGCTGAGGAACCCACAGAAGAAGAGATAATAAAAATTATTTAAAATATGAAGAATAATAAAAGCCCCGGATCAAACAAAATTACCGCAGAGAACCTAAAATATGGAGGACAACAACTAATAACACAAATAATACAACTTATCAAAGAAATATGGAAATCGGAAGAAATGCCACTAAATTGGAGGAAAGCAGTAATACTGCCAATATATAAAAAAGGGGACCCAGCAGACTGTGGAAACTATCGAGGTATAGATTGGCTGGACGTTACATATAAGGTACTAGCCACGATAATAAAAAGAAGAATAGAAGTAGAAGGAGAAAAAATTATCGGAGAATACCAATGCAGCTTTAGAAAAGACAGGTCAACGACTGACCAAATCTTTATTTTAAAACAGGCACTCACATGTTGCTACGAATACAAAATACCAACACATATTATGTTTATTGATTTTAAAAGCGCATATGATACAGTAAATCGACGAAAATTGGTAAATGCTTTGAAAGAACTAAAACTACCTCAAACTTGTAAAACTGACGAACATAACCCTGGAAAATACAAGGTGTGCAATAAGAGTAGGAGGTGAGGAAACCGAAGAAGTCCAAAACAAGCTTAGGCAGGGAGACCCATTATCCACCCTTCTTTTTAACTTAACCCTTGAAATAGTCATCAGAAACATTGGAATAAACAGATATGAAACCCTGATCAACAGATCCCATCAATAACTTAAATACAGAACAGAACAGTTATGAGACGCGGCAGGAATAATAAGGCTAAATATAAATTAAAAAATCTGATGTGTCCAACACATGACTTTCATATCTAGTTATTATAGGCTTTTTCCGGTTATTTTGTACAACCTATTGCAGCATCTCTATAAATGTTTAGAGGATTAACTAAATATATACATTTTCCACATACATCAACCTCGAAACATTTTTCTATAGATATTTATTGAAAACTAAACACTGAAAAATTTAAATTTAGCACCTTTCCTACAATTTTTCCATTACGGTCCATTTTAGAAAAATCATGTATAAACAAAAATTATAGAGATCGATATCGCAAACAACTTTTAGTTCAACATTTTTCATAAAAAATCAGAATTTTGCAAATTTTGTCAAATTTCTCGAATACGGACTATTTCAGGAAATTTTGACATAAAGCAAAAATTATAGATAATACGAGCCCCTTCCCATTTCAGTTGGACCACCTATTAATATTTTCTTTATATAACGACAATAAGAAAGTATTAAAGATTACATGCTTTTTTAAATGATAAATTCATTAACAATGCATTAATTTAGAATTATATTAGAACTAGAACTAAAAAACATCAATTTTTTTATTTATTTTTAAATTTATTAACACATTATTTCAACTTGAATTCAATGCGTTAGATAATAAACCAAAATCGAAGGTAGCTTTGAAAAAATAACAAATAATAATGCAAATAACTGTCACAAGACAATTTAACCTCTTTTAAGCTAATTCTGTCTAATAAAATGGGTAGAGGAAAAATCATTGACGAAAAAATACGTTTTCTTGTTATAAAACATTGCAATTCTGGAAAATCGAACTCGGAAATTGCAAATATATTAGATTTATCACGATATAGTGTAAGAAATATAGTTAGAAGATACAAAACTACTGGTTCAATCAGCCCAAAGCCCCGTCATGTTAGAAAAAGCAAGATTACAAATGCCGATAGACGAGCATTGAGAAGAATTATTGAAACTAACCGTCGTGCTAATTACCTTGAATTAAGTGCTCAGTGGAGTGATGCTGTTGGAAGATGAATTTCGAGATCTTCATGTCATAGAGAAGCTCGCAAATTGAAATTTGGGACTTACAAAGTAAGTTTATAATAATAAAAACAATAAAAAACATGGATTGAAGACACTAAAACAATCAAATATGTTTGCTTAAAATTGACAATTTTGTTACAGGTTAAAGAAAAACCACTACTAACTGCGAAACAGAATAAAAATCGATTAAGATGGTCAAAAGAACATATGAGTTGGACTTCTCATCAATGGGATGCAATACAATGGAGTGACGAGGCCCGATTCGAAGTTTGTGTTGGAGATAGCAGAAGTCGAGTTATTCGCAAAAAACATGAAGCGTTCCATCCAGACTGTCTCAAAAGAAAAGTAAAATTTCCCGCATCGGTCATGGTCTGAGGCACCATATCATCTAAAGGAATAGGGAAATTGCATTTTATTGAAATACAAATAAATATTTGGACATTTTGGAGGAATCACTTTTACCGACTATGGAATTATATTTGTCATCAGGGAAAGATTTTGTATTTCAACAGGATGGAGCAGGGTGTCACACGTCAAAAAAAGCTCTAAAATAGATGGAAGACTTCGGTGTTCCACTTTTGGAATGGGTTTCTAGTAGTCCTGATTTATCACCAATAGAAACATTGTGGCATGAGATGAAAAAGGTACTTCGAAAACATCCTGCAAGAACAATACCTGAACTTAAACAAAAACTTCAAGATATATGGGATTCATTTACACCAGAATTTTGTCAAGGCTTAGTTAATACCATGCCGCAAAGAACTTCAGCTGTAATAAAAAATAAAGGTGACGTTACTCAATGGAAAACTTTAAAATTGATTAACGTTTGATTACAACTATTTGTTTATTTTTTTAAATTTTATATTAAATAAATATTTTAATGTTTTCTACATATTTTTTATGATTTAAAGATATTAAACATATTGTTCAATGAATAAAAATTGGCATGCAATATTTATATTTTTAATCTTTAAATACGAATTTCCTAAATTTCAATAGGTGGGCCAACTGAAATGGGAAGGGGCTCGTAATATTAGAAGTAACTTTTATTTAAACAATTTTCTTCTCCAAACATAAATAACAGATATATTCCATAAAATATAAAAACAGCCTCCCATAAAGTACCCCCCCAGATGTTCCGACTTTGTCCAAAATCTAACCATTTCACGTCAGGCCAAAATAAAACTTAAGTTTAAAATTAAGTTTTTTTTCTTTATCCGTTTTTGAGTTTTCTTCAAAATTCGAAATTTACATATTATCTCAAATATCTCGAATACGGTCCATTTTAGAGAAATTATGTATAAAATAAAAATTATTGAGAATTATCTTACAAACAACTTCTATTTGAACAATTTTTATAAAAAATTATTTTTTTACATTTTGTCAAATTTATCGAATACGAACCATTTTGGGAAAATTTTGTAAA